AAAAAAGCCTAAAAACACGCTAAAAATACTCCCAAAACCCAAACCTGTGCTTGGAAAGTATAGCTAGGTGTTGCTGCTGCAGTACTTAACTATGCAGCTAGGTGTTGCTATTGCAGTGTTACACGGCGCCTATAGCTGCAGTACAAATCAGAACCAGTCACTGTTGCCCTGAAGAAGATGACAGATGGTTACTGAAATGTTGGATCTAAAAAACTCATTGGTGGTTGAATAAAGAACCTTCTTATACATGTCACACTGGTTGTAAAAAGACAGCCTTCCACTAGTGTCCACTTTCACGGCACGTTAAATCAAGTTCATGCGTATGAATGTTACAATTGCATGGAACTGAGGGAAAAACGCTAGAAACTCAGTTGGTTTCGTAAAGATTTCAAGTTGATGAATTTCTAAAATTCAGCACTTGTTCAACTGTTACTCTAAAAATCTTGCAGCATGCAATGACTGAGACAGCTTTCAGAGTGTTGAAATACAGTGAAAAGAAAGTTACTTAAAAAGGCAGCTTAAAACGTTTTTTTTACATGAAAATGTATACTTGTTGCAGCTCCAAAGTGTAGGATTTCAGTGGCTGATTTTGAAGTTTTGTGCGTAAGATATTTAGATCTTTTAATGTATTGTGTAACATGTTTCAAATATGCTTATAAGAAATCCTGTTTGTTTTATATGTTATACATGAACATTTCATGCTTTTATAGAAATCATCTCTGTTGAGATATCATAATATAGCACATTTCATGGACTTCGTGGCTTGTGTCCAGTTTACTGTTACTGGTAGTTATGCAGGAAGTTTAAACTGTCATGTCCAACACAAGAAAATGGACTCACCCAAATTTTCCACTGTACAACTCCAGTCTTTGTCAAGGAATGAGCAATCCACTTCTTCCGTGACGTCACGCAGATAACACACGTGACTCCGTGAGCAGTGGATCATAGGTTGCAGAAAGTCTGTGGCGCCCCCTGTCTCTATTGAGGATACTGGTACTGTTGCTTCAATTATAGTTCTGTAGATTTAGCTGTGATCACAAGTTCAGGTATCCAAGTAAAGAAGTTGGCCAACCAAGGACAGACCCAGATGGAAGGAAAAAGTCCTGGCCCTATGTCTTGCTAGTCACTAGGGATGAAGAGGATAATTAAGTAAGTATAAGAACTCACCTCAGGCATGAAGGGAGGTTTCTCTATGGGGGCTGTTACACTCTGTTCACTCACTCACACTCACTGTCCGGTTTATCGTCTGTTGTTCCCCATCTTCCGAGGGTTAGACGTGCTTGCACAATACAACTGGGGCTTGATGGCAGCACGCCACTTGTCTCTGTCCTGTGGGTTGATTTTATCTAAGTTCAGGTGGTGGAGGTCCTCCCGTATGTTGTCAAACCATTTCCTCCCAGGGCGGCCATGGGGGTTTGGACCCTCCACATCCAGTGTGAGGACCCTCTTTGGCCATTTGTCCCTGTCCATTCTCTGGACGTGGCTGTATCATCTTAAATCATCTGTGTCTGATTGTTATCCTGACAATCAGCAAAGACAGTGGCCAAGGACAGCCTCAATGGAAGGAAAAAGTCCTCTTGGCCTTACATGTAAGTCTCACAAGGGATGAAGAGGATATTAAGTATACCAAGCAAGTACTTTTGAGGATTTCAGGATTTTGAGCAGCTGCCTACTGATTAGACTTGTGAATTTTAAAATACATGCTTCCAGTAAGGGCAAGAGGATTTCAAACCATTTGGAAGTTTGAAACTGGACAGGCAGATGCTTTCTCAAGAATGCTACAAAAATAAACATTTTTATGCAGTTTTTATTGGAAATATTACAATCTTAAATGGTGAACTATGGAAGAAAACCCACCTAATAGTGCCTTTAAAATGATATACATGTACATAAAATGAAAATGTATCTGGGTGAACTAATATCATACAAGATTCTAAATTAAATCCATTCCATGATTTATAACAGTCATTCTATTCCATGATGTGTGTTGAAAAAACTCTCTTGTCCAAATTTGACCAGAACAGTTATCATAGGTCACAGTCAATTCAGATTTTCAAAGTTCAACACTTCCACATCCAATTAACCCTCAGCCTGCTAAGGCAGCGAACTGGTAACAAATCTGTTTTGGTTTTGTTATGGGGTTAGGCAGCAGGTAGAAGGTTAAGGGTACTGTTTTTAATGACGTCATACCCTTATTAGTAATTTAACCCTTGTCTTGCAGAGCCCATATATACATACAATGTATATGGCTTGCACATACAGTACCACCCATATAGCGCCCTGTATATATTATGTACCATCTTGTGCAACGCATCACACCACAGTGAAACGCAACGAATGCGGAAGTACATTTGTAGCTACGCCACCGCAGGGCAAAAAAAGGCAAGAGTCTATGACCTGATTAAGACTTCAAATTATTTGAAAATATTGTGTTAAGGACAAGGGTTAAGACTTGGATGACGATTTCTGGTGTGTGTGTTACGCCGAAAGGCTGTTATACCGGCTATACAAATACAGATACAGATTTTGAACTAGAGTTTAAATCTCTTAGACTTGTACAAATCTACCAGGCACTGAAGTCGGTGAGTTTGGACGATGACTTGACTTTTTTCTTGGGCGGCACGGCGGCCTGGGGAGAGTCCGTCTGTCTGCTGGTCCCGGGGTCGGCACTACTGGTGCTGGCACTGGGGGGGACACACAGGGTTACTGGTTAGGTATTATCTTCGTAAACATAAACATAAACACTGCCATGTACAAACATACTGTAGTACTGCTATGGTATGAATAGATACACTGTCAGGGGTTAGGGAACACTGGTTTCAAGGAGAAATCCAGAATTGAACTTGCATTACATACCTATAACTTTAACTTTATTTGTTCAACCAGGTATCACACTCAGGCCACTCTGGCCTGTTTTTCAGGAAATCCTGGTACAAAAGCACAGACAAACACCTAACAGTTAAACAGATTACAATACATCCAAAAGTCTAAAAATAGCACATAGATAAAACTAATCTTAAATACAATTCGATAAAAACTGTTTAAAAGTTCTGAGACTGAGCTGCTGTCGTTAATGTAGGGGTAGTGAGTTCCAGAGATAAGGTCCATAGTACTGTAAGCTGTTCCTGTATGAAGTCACTCTAGCTGGGGGACAGGAGAAATACATTATATACATTGTACAGTGTACAGGGCTCGAAATACTGGGTGCACTAGTATTTTTAGGTTTACGTGTGTAAAGATATTAAATGTATATACAGCATATTCTGGACAAGTGTCAGAAAAATAAAATTTCTGTTGTAGCATTTTTCTTTAGAAATGAAACATAGTATTATTTTTGACATTCTACTTATCTTATATGGTGCGCGATTTCATGTTGGGTGCACCATTCAATGCACCTGTTCCCAAAAATGAATTTTTAAAAGACCTTGACTTTCAACTCTAAAATCCAAGAACCAGGGAATTGCATTGTTATGGCCTGACATGAGGATGTAACATGATCCTACCTGGCCATGTTGATGTACTTCCCCACGCCTGACTTGAAGACTTTTGGTCCCTCCGGTTCTTTCTTCCGTTTGACGGGGATGTTGAGGTAAGACTTTCTCTCCTCCTCCTCAGCTTCCTGTTGCTTCCTTCTTTCCTCCGCAAGCTGGGAGGGGCGGAAGACGGGAACGAATGAGTGAACAGACGGAAGACAGCTGGTATAGGTCATTCTAAGGCCACACCAATTCATTGTTGGTTCTCGGACATTTTTAGTTCAAAAGATAGCAAGCGGACATCATAAAATGAGAGGGCTGAGGAAGAAAACTTGAATAAGCCTGTATTAACTGAGTCCACCAAGGCATTAACCAGGTCCTCAGACTTTGATTTCATTAGGTTTTTCCAGTTAACCATATTTTCAAAAAATCCCAGAACCAACAAATCAAATTGGTGAGGCTTAAAGCAGGTTTGAACTGTAATTCCTAACACAGTGAACTGGACTGACCCAAATTTTTCACTGTTCAACTCCATTCTTTGCCACGGAATGAGCAATCCAATATCAAAGTGACGTCACAGAAGCGGTGCATTTTTCATTCCTTGACAAAGACTGGAGTTGAATAATCGAAATATCGGTAAGTGCAGTTTGTTGTGTTGGAACTTACAGCTTCAGAAAAACGGATTAATGAGCTGAATGAACAAAGAAGAGACTGGATGAAAGAATGAAGGGAACAATGCCTTTTTCTTTTCCAGCTACATGTAAGTGCAAAACAAGTGAGTGAATGAATGAATGAGTAGGAAAATGAATGATAGAACAGATGGATTCAGATGATAGAACAAGAACAAATAAATGAAAAATTGAAGAATGGTTCATTAAAGCAGACATGGAATTAAAGACAGCGACTTACACTTACATTATGATATATACTGTTTATTATGTACAAATTTATTTCTATTTCCGTGTGCTTTATGTATCAACATTCAAATAGGACACAAGTCTGATGTGAGAATATAAAAAAAACAACGAAAAGGTCTCCCACCAGAGTTTCTGCCTCCTCGTAGGGGTCCACAAATACCAGGGTGTCTGTAATCATGATGTCATCCTGGAACATACCAATCACAGACGGGGGTCAAAACAATGGCAAGTATTGATGAAACAAGTAAAAAGACATATTTCAAGCTCAGGCCTGTATGAGAAACAGGCAAATGAATAAACAAACAATAAATAATTCTTTTTATTCATTTATTCCAACATTTAATGACAAGACTTGGTGATGGCAAACTCTAACTTTTGCAACTTATATTTATGCCACCACCGGAGATGGGCTCTGCCCTATGCACCACCTGGTGCAGGAAGGACTTTAACTTTAACTTTAATTATAATAATAACCTTTACCTGTGGTTTGTCTGTAGAATCACACTCCACCTTCTCCATGGCAGTGAGAGTGTCCAGTCCGCCCACCACCCTCCCGAACACCGCGTGCTTCCGGTCCAGGTGGTTACAGGACCGGTACGTGATGAAACTGGACAACAAGTGAACATAATCAATAACAACAACAACAACAAAAAGGTGGTTACAGGACCGGTACGTGATGAAACTGGACAACAACAACAACAACAGGTGGTTACAGGACCGGTACGTGATGAAACTGGACAACAACAAAAACATACAGGTGGTTACAGGACTGGTACGTGATGAAACTGGAAAACAACAAAAACAATAACATATTATATAATCAATAACAACAACAACATACAGGTGGGTACAGGAACAGTATGTGATGAAACTGGACAACAACAAAAACAATAACATATTATATAATCAATAACAACAACAACATACAGGTGGGTACAGGAACAGTATGTGATGAAACTGGACAACAACAACAACAAAATCAGCATCAGTGGGATTTTGTGGCATAATGGTGGAGTGTTCGCCTCAGAACATAAGAGGCACCAGGTTTGAGTCCTGACAAGCCATCAATCTAGTGTCTGTAGAAAAAACACTTTACACGACTTTCCTCACTTCACGTGTAGGTGAAAATGAGTGCTATATTGTCCCCTGTGTTGGTGGCGGCATTAAAATAAGTTGAAAAAACTTGAAAGTGCTGTCACCATGTCTTGTCATTACATGTTGGAACAACAACTGTTACAAGTGTTCACAGTAGTCAGGTAGTCCTTATGTAGTCAGTCATTTGAACAGGTTTGAGTGTATCTTTACTTTTATCATATACAATGTAATATTAATGTGGGGATCCTTGCATTTTGATATTAAAGAAGAATGAAACGTTGACAAAGAAGTTAGAAGGAGGTAAGAACTGAAGCTTACAACTGGGACTTGTTGGAGTTGGGTCCAGAGTTGGCCATGCTGAGCACACCTCTCCCGGAGTGGGTCAGGTTAGGTTTGAACTCGTCCTTGAATGGTTTGCCCCAGATGGACTCCCCTCCTGCGAAATGGTACAACCCAGTACATTATCAAAACTTCATTCCATCTTCAAAGTTCATCTAAGTTCAACTTGGTAGACATCATGATGAAGCAAGTTTAAACTGTAATTTCCAATGCAAGAAATTGGCAACCTATGATCCACTGCTCACTAAGTCACGTGTGTGTCATTCTGCATAGCGTGATGTTACAAAAGCGGTGGATTGCTCATTCGAAACTCCTTGTAGTTGTACAGTCAAAAATTTGTAGTGTTGAAAATTACAGTTTAAACTTGCTTCATAAAAATGCATTTTAGTTTTGATCCGATTTACAGAAAATAATTACACAATACGGGAGACTTGAAGACAATTTGTAAAGTGACGTGGAGACAAGGTTTGTACATACCCTTTCCAGTGGCTGTGGGATCTCCTCCTTGAATCTAGGGAGAAAAATCACAAATTAGAAATTGCTACCAACTTCAGTTAGATTCTTAAAAAACAAATTAGTTCAGCAGTTTGGTAGAATCTCACTACAATGTCCTCTATTAGATTCTGTATTGAAATTACACATCCCTTAATATGTTACGCCAGATGCTAAATATTACTATTATAATTATTGATATTAGAACAATTTTGTCTGCTTGACTTGGATTGCATTACAACATCTTCAAGACAGTTCTCTCACATGTAATGAAAATCATTAATTTCCTCCATTAATTTATAGAAGGGGCAAACAAGGAGTTCAAGAAACATTACTGAGTGACAGAGAGATGTGGGGACCATCTGGAAAGTTCAAAGGAATAACAGATGAGGGTAGGGACCGACCATGAAGTTCCTGATGCTCCTGTGGAACTGAGTTCCTTTGTAGTACTTGTTCTGGCAGTGTCTGAGGAAGTTCTCACACGTTCTGGGGACCTGGAATGACATGAAATTATTACAGACAGATACATATAAAATGCAACACAGTAGTGACTAGATTGATATGCTGACAAATATTTCGTAAACCAGGTCTATGTAATGTTCCCAAAAGTTACTGTGTGTGTGAAAATTTCAGAGTGGATCTGTTTTACAATGCAATTGTTGAAGTACAGCACTAAGTGGGTTTGCTTTAAAATTTGTATTCTGGTTTTAAAAGTATCAGCAGCAGATCTTACAATGTTCGGAGTTTAACCCAACCCTACATCAGTGGGTCCTGGATGTTAGAATGTAGGGTGTTCCTGTCAGGGCTCTAACAACCACCGTATTTTGGTCAATTGCAGGAACTTTGTGGCATATGACGAAAAATAGACAAAAATGACGTGTATATCCAAATGACCACTAACAACCACTCTCAACAGAAAAAGAATTTGACTGAATTTGAGCTGGCTACATGTAGATCCAATAGTACGTCCTCACCATGTCACAGTGCAGTTCGATGTTGAGGTCTCCCTTGTTGGTTCTGAGTCTCACGTATCCCTTCTTCTTCACAAACCTGTACTTCAGTTCATCACTGTCGATCTTAGCTGGAAAATAAGCAGCAAAACAACAAAACTTATGGACTCTATCATTCAGAAGGGATAGAAATACAAAACTTACCGGTGATGTATCTTGAAATATGTGATACAAAATGAATTGAGCAACTAGCTAAGTTCTCTAAAGAATCAAGTTTCAAAATATCTCTTTCTTTCATCTTTCATCTTTCATCACTTGTATAGAATGAGTCGTAGAAACTGACAAATTCTCATTGACTTTAAAACCCTATCATTATTATTCAACCCATAGCCATTGGCTCGCCTTGCATTCGGTAGGTTGTGAGTTCGATCCCCGGCCGAGTCACACCAAAGACTTTAAAAATAGTACATAGGTACTTTGAAACTTTGAAACTTTGAAACTTTATTCATCAAAACAACATTGCAGGCTGAAACAGCCTGAATTGTGTTGCAAGTCACATGTAATTCCATATTAATAATAACAATTGTAACATTTTAGCGTTAAAAAGATTTAGTGTTAAAAGAAATATCCGATAATGACGTATTGTATAAAATATCGATAACACATTAAAATATAGACAATAATTGAGTGGAACAACTTAAGAATACAAATACAAGGAGGCAATAAAATTTTTTATAAAAGTCTATAGTGTCCTTCAGATTTTAAAAAGTACTATAGTGTCCCTCACTGCTGCAAGATGTTGAGTGATCTGGGGATAAATGATTGTCTATGTCTCTCTGTACGGCTAAGTGGTATCTTGTAGCTGGAAGTCTGACGGCGTAGTTGGTAGGTTGTCGGTCTACCCGGCTCAAGGAACTGCTGGCAAGGGTGAGTGTCATCCGCCATCACCCTCCTGAGTTCACGTACGGATGCCTCACGTCTCCGCTCCTCCAGGGTCGGCAGTTGACCGGAAGGAATTCCAATGATTCTGCAGCAGATTTTCTGTACTTTCTCGAGCTCGTCAGCCAACCCGCGAGGTAACCCTCCCCACACTGGTGATCCGTATTCCAGCACTGGTCTGACAAATGTCTTGTAAATTTGTAACAGAACGTCTACTGGAAGCCCCGCTCGTTTGGACAGTCGCAAGTAGTGAAGGCGAGGTCGGACCTTGGACAACATGTATTCAACGTGTGCACCCCACGACAGGTCGTTACTGACGATCACCCCTAGAAGTTTGAATGCAGGAACTCTCTCTACTGCTTTCTCTGCTTAGCACTCAGCATTTGAGAAAGAGTGTGGGACTCATTGGGAGTGAAACACACACCACTGCTGTAGTGACTGCACAATTGTGTAGCCCAAGGGCTAGGAAACGGAGATGGGCACTGCCATATGTGAGCATGCTAATAGTTGTGGGAGGACTCTAACTAAATGTAAGAACAAGAGAACTCAACCTACCAGCCACATGTTCAGTTCGAGGTGTGACAGCTGTGGAGGTGAACCCAGCTGCCACCATGCCTGTGGTGTGGTGGGCCTGGAACAGGGGATACAAAATCTTTCCATCAAGAATTTGCCCATAGTTTTTCTTTTCTTCAAAGCTGCTATTGTACCCAAACCTAAACCGCTTCTTTCTCAAACCAAAGGCTACATGTATATGCCACATGACCAAAATTTATGCTTTTTCAAGAACTGAATAATCTAGACAGAGGAAGCAATGACATAAAAAAAATACAAAACAACAGACAACATGAGTACAGTCAAATCTAAAGAAAATCTGATAGTATATCAGTGAGATCTTTTCAGGAAGCAAGAGAATGAAACACTTACAGAGCTCATCTTGTCTGGGTGCTCCTCCTGCTTTTCTTTTGGAACCTGTGAAGATAAAAAAAAAACATTTCCACCATTTCACTGTACACAACAGTGCCAAAGCAGTTAAAGGAGGTATGGCAATACTGTATTGTGTATAATGAGAAAACTGGAAACAATTAAACAAACAAACACATACACATACGCCAAAAACAGTTACTCAAGCAAGCGGATATGATTTTGAAAACGGTCACACATTTCAGGTAGCATCCACTACCTTTTGTCAGTGACACTAATTGAGACTGCAGGAGAAATGCAGGTTTATAAGCACAAACTATGATCGATTGATATGCAAATACATGAAAACAATTTTCTGGAAGTCCAAAAGGAAACAAAAGTTAGACAAGACACACAAAGACACTGACAGGCACACTAGTATTGAAACTCATTAAGAGATTTGTACTGACCAGTTCCTGAGGTTTGTAGTCCCTGTAAAGTTCCTCCAACACGTCTCCAGTCATGGAGTTCACGTTCTTCAGGTGAAAAGACGGATCCTTCTTTTCCTTCTCTAACTCTGAAGGTGGGTGGAAGAAAGACAGAACAAATGAAGCTTTTTATAAAAGAAAGGAAGGGAGATAAACTTGAAGATGCTATGAGAAGGTAACATGTCAACATCGTTTTACATCTTCTTGACTCTACTGTGACAATGGAAAGATGATAGTCAGAGGACTGGTAAGTCCTGGGAAAAATGATACCAAAAACACTGTCTTGAACTATTTTAGAAAACACTTTGAAAATGTCTAATGCACACGGCCATACTTGAACCTTGACTTGTAGTTGTATCCCCCTGATTGAAAAATTTTTGAGAAGTGGCTATCCAAGGATTTTAAAGTTGTTAATCTTCTGCACAGCAGAATAAAGGTAACATTAACCCGACTCTCTGACCTTCGTCCGTGACCTTGAGGTTGTGCTTGAGGTGGTGGAAGTTGTTAAAGTTGAACTTGTCCAGGTCGGTGGGGTCCTGGATTGTGATGATGTCCTTGCGCGTGATTGGTTCATCCGTCAGAAGGTCCTTCCAGTTCTTGGGTCGGATGTTTAACCTTTCAACTGCCTGAGGTTCAAGGGTCAGGGTTTAAGGGTCAGAGTTTAAGGGTCATAGTTCAGGAGTCATGTATAGCACAAAAAGCCGTATATGTTAGGTATAATCACATAAGGCCACACCGACTTAATTTTATGGATGACATCCGCGCGCGCATGGATTTTCGCCTGTTCTCAAAAAAAAAAAAAGATCACGTCCACCGAGTTTCTGGCCTGGTTCTAGGCCTGGGTAGTCCATGCTACTTAGCGACAATACGGAACCGGGCACCCAGGCTACCGAAGCTCCACGACTCAAGAACTCAGTACATACGTACAGTGTCAATTCATAAATTCCACAAAAAGCCAGCATGTGCCGGCTTGTCATATACGTCGCTAAGTACTGCCGCAAATTCACAATACCAGCTTTGCATTCGTGTGGTTTAGTAGCATTTTTATTTTTGACCGGAATTTTTTTTTATTCGCCCGCGTGCACTAGTTTGTGGGTCTTCAGAGGATGTCATCCAGAAAATTAAGACGGTGTGGCCTAATGGCAAGTCTGAAGAGCATGTGTATTCTTCCATGTGTGATTAATAGTATTTGAGACCACACCTATTTGATATTTAGTTCTGAAGATTTAAAACAAAAAATTATTCCATTGGGAGACGTAAAAATGATACAGAGTCAGAGGGGAAAGTCTATACTTTGGTATACACATTGAAGTGAATGAATACCAGATGCAAGTTTTTTTCACAGCTCTACGAGTATGCTTATGTAGAGTAGTAAGTGTCCTCTCACTTATATTTTTCTTTACTTGGAAATGTCCAAAAACCCAGAGAACAATTTGGCATGGATTATTATTGCCAACTACCTGATATATATTGTTATGAAGAAACATAATTGTTTGTTTGTCAGAAAACATCACCTTACCTCATAACTGTAGACATGTCCAGTCTTCTTGATGGCGACGATGTGAGCGTTTTCGTTGAAGACTTTGAAGGTGACGGGACAGTGGTACTTGTCTGGAAGAAGGACATTTTACAAAAATTACAGATAGTCTAGATGATTTGTGTCAACATAATGCTAACAAAATGGGCAGTGATATTTCCCTGTAGATAAAGTAAAACTAAGTTTAGCTCAAAATCAAATAAACTCCATGAACAGTGAGGCTCTTTTCCACTGGCTGTGACGGAGACAACAGACACTATGTACAGTATTAACAGGTTCCGGGCTCTCCCCATGCAATGGAGCAAGGGTGCTCCCCCCTCCCCAAAATCCTAGCACCCCTCCCAAAATGTGCAAATTTTCTCTTAGTATTTTTATGAAGATTCGCAGCTTTCTTTTGCGACATCAACCGATTAGGGAGCCCCTCTCCCCTAACAATTTCTGGAGAGACCCTTGCAAGTTCTACTGGGGATAGTCCCCTGGCTCTTGTATCATAATAAGTACAAGTTGAAACTAGAGAAGTAACATTTGCGAAGCATGTTTACCTTCGGACATGGTCTGCCCTGTTAATTCTTACTCAAACACATTCACACACATGTACTACTAGTATATGGTGACAGGAGCAGAGCAGACATGAAATTGCAACATTATGTAACCCAACACCAGTCACCATGGTGACAGACGTCAACAAATCATGTCATTGGTCAGGTCAGAGGTCACTGTTTGAAGAATAAGAAGAGGAAGAAATGGAGTAAAAACAATATGTTTTTCTTCAGTAAACATAACAATAATAGTTACACAGTAGAATCCTTTGGTTGATGCATACAACACTGAAGACATCTCGACACAATGTCTTAGACTTATGGACTGACCTTCAGAGTTCTTGTGGAAGGTCAACTTTGTCAGCGCCTTGGCCTCCATTTTCTATCAAGGTCACCAGAGTTACAAGGTCAAGACAGTTACAAGACATTTATTAAAAAGCCATGCCAGTGTTCTTGAGAGAAAATTGAGAAAATCTAAGGAATCTCCACACATTTCTATGTAAGCAAAGTAATAAAATCATGTTCACTCCAACTTGGATATTTCATAACTCTATTAGTATACAATGAGAGTCCATTTTCTGAATTTCAAAAGCCACTTGGTAAATAATATGATTATTATGATTCCAGTAGCCACAGAAAATGCCATAAATACCATAACAGAACATTGATCAATCTAATTACAGATTGACTAGATGATTGATAAACTATTGATTGATTGTTTGATCTATCTATTGATTATTGATTGATTGATAGATTGTTTGATTGATGATTGATTGATTGATTGATGTACTTGTTTCCTCACCTCTCCTGTGATGGGATTTGTTCCATATTTCTTCAGCCATGGGACAATGTTCCTGTAACAAATAAACAAACAAACAAATAAACAAACAAATAAACAAGCTAGATAGAAACGATAGTCACGCAATGTCAAGTGAACTGATGGAATTCAACTTTCTAACTACACTATACTTCAACACTTTTGACAATTATATTGAGAAAAACTTCACTTACTAGTATCTAAGTTGTACACATCTTTATGAGTCATGGATAAGAACATTTTAAAATATTCTGTAGCAGGTGAAACAAGGATTGCTGGTTCTTCAACAAAGATCATTTACTAGTAACTCTCTCAATGCTGCATAACCCCATAAACAATACAAACTTTGTGTCATGCAGCAACTTTAGCAACAAATTCCTTTTTACTCCGTGAAGGAGGTCAGGACCTCCGGACGGAGTGTTGTAATCGGCTGATTTTTCATGTTCGCAGTCAAAACACTGGGTTCTCTTTGTGTAATCGGCACGCAATTTTATACGCCTTCTGCGGGCATGCCCGTGTTGATGCACGAATGTGTATTTTTGCCGTTGCTGCTTTCGCGGTCAATGTAATATCGCAGACGCACCCCTACAATTACGAGGCGAATTGGAATGGTCCAGAAAAACGCGTTGTTTGGAATAGCAGTGGGGTTCAAAAAAGTTCATGCAGATACGGGGTGGTTTTTATAAGTGGTTCCAGATTTTTTTGCCCATGGTTAAGAGATGCCAAGTTTTTGGAAGATGTTCGCAGCCAAAACGCATTCTTCCGTACGTCGCATTTCTGTGTAATTTCGCATGTGGTGTTGCATTATGTCCGGGATGATGCACGTCTTTTTATTTTTACCGTAGCTGTTTTGATATTGGAGTAAATGCTTATTTTCGAAACATCCCCATTTCTTTGAAATGGTTTCGTCCGTTTATGCAACTGTTACTGCGCTAATGACGACCAGTCGCGCTGTCCTGATACACCGCGAATGTGCGAGTGTTCCCTGTAGACAGTCCCGGGAGTCATTTTTTTTCGCACATTCCAGGAGCCAAACCAAAATACGTTCATGAACCGAGTCCAAAAAACAGAAACGTGAAAATCGGATGATCGGACCTGATGTACATTTCTCTTTCTATAGATTGTACACACAATACACACATCTTTAGATAATCTGGCCCTGGCAGGTTAAAAAAAAAGTAACCCTGAATCATACTAGATTAGCGTAAATGCATGTTAATGCGTTCAAAACAAGAAAAAAATTGTTTCCGGGTATTAATCTCTTGAATCACGGCGCTGAATATTGACGCAAAAATATTTCGGGCATCGCGCGCCCTTCCCGCGTCACGTGTAGGCATCTCGCATCTCTGATTGGTTGTTGCGTCTTAAGATGACTGAGCCGACGCGCGTTTAAACAATTTTTCTTTGTTCGATTTATCACACTTCACAGAGAATTGTCGCCAATGGCTACTTCTTTTTGTTGCAATATATAATACTTCACGGAGAATTGTCGCCTATGGCTTCTTGTTTTGCTTCAGAAGGACTGAGAGAATCAGAAGTTTTTTACTCACATCAAATCAAAGATGTCTCCTTTCTCCGTGCAGAGTGGGTGCTCAAATGGCTGCAGGGACAGACTGGGTATGAAAAAGTTATGTTAGTCATGTCAACAGAGCTGCTTTAATAATAGTAACACACTTCTGATGACCTGGATAGTTGCAAACTTACTTTTGTATTATGGTTTTATTTCTTATAATTATTTAATCCAGTGTCTATAGTGACCACCTGACCATGTGTTGTCCGTCATCTGGGTGGTCTACTACTTGGGCAGTTTTGAGCGTAGTAGTGATGCTTTAAAGCTTAAGATTTAATAACATTAACGTTAATGTTACACCCCAAATATTTACAATACTTACACTGCAACACTTTCCACTGTAGGTTGTAAATTTGACTGAACGATTAACAACTGTTTGTTCGTTTGTTTGTGTGTTTGTTTGTTTACCTGCAGCAGTAGAAAGGCAGTCGTCGGAAGGGCCCCCTCTCTGGACCATCTAAAAACAAAAACACACCGTCAAATATGCACAGACTGTCCGGGCACAAAGTAGTGCTGCACAATACTAGAGAAGGGTGCAGAGAGATGTGCATGGCATCGAGATGGGACCTGTGGTAAATGTTAGAGGAATACGTCGGTTTTGAGACTGTAAAAGTTGAATTATGGTGCGTGTTCAGTCGGCGTAGATTTGCGCTTGGATACTTGTCCCGCCTAGTACTGTGCGTCGGCTGCAGTTCCATGACCTCCGCAGTGGCGCTAATAAAAGAGGGCATGAGAAGAGAACTAACCGGCAAATTTAAGCTCATTTTCACATATTTTGTACGCTATACCCTAAAGTCAAACATTAAAATTCTGAACCTTGCTTGTGCACCCTACTATGATTTTCAGTGAGTCGAAGTGAGTCACTTTGGGGACCTTAACTATAGAAATCCCCATATAGGGCTAAAACTGCGTTGTGCCGCCTTATTATTATTCAACTACAGAAAAAACTGGAAAACTTTACCTGACTTTTTGCCTCCGAAAAACTGGGTCCACTCTGAACAAGTCAGGTACCTGAGTACATGGGATAAAAGATACAAAACTAGAAAGGCCAATATTTGCTTTGGAGCAAATACAGTGATGGGTTCACCACATTTTACCACATGGCAGGGAAAGAATGAGAAACACAAGGGAAAACAATGATTTACATTGATATAACTACATTTGTATAATATGAAGTAACATACAACTAAAACAACAGTTGGATAGCTATTCCCTACTTTATTGGTTAGGATTTTTAATTGCATAATGCAAACTGTTGATTTTCAAAATAAAATAAAAAACGTTCATGCCCCGCATTCCAATGCTGGAGCAGAAAAGCTTGAAATACCTACCAAAACACTTGAATAAAGACATACTGTCAGTATGGAAATGCTCTGTGCAGGTGTTAATCAAGTTAAATCCCAACAGCCAATCAGCAAGAAATGCTCTGTGCAGGTGGAAATGCTCTGTGCGGGTGTTAATCAAGTTAAATCCCAACAGCCAATCAGCAAGAAGTATAGAGGAAAGCTGCATGCCTATTGGTTGATGCCCTGCATTCCATTGTGATGACTCATGCCCAGACGTGGTAAACAGGGCACACTAACACAGTAATACATTTGCTATAACACAGCCAAAAAACTCAAATAAAACCATTCTAAAAGCCTGTATCACAAAAATTTAAAAAACGCCTAGGGGTATTTGCCCACTGTACCTCCATACCAAATTTCAGGACCTTAGGCCCTAAAATGAAGAAGCTGAATCCATTTAAAGATATGGCAGGAGGAGGAGAAGGAGGAGGAGAAGGAGGAGAAGAAACATCAGAAAAAGCAATATGGGTTCACCACCACTTCGTGGTGTGGTGAACCCATAAAAAGCTGAAAATTGTCATAGTTTCCCAGACTGTGGATCATCATTTGCGTAAATTATTTGGTCGTCGAAATAATGTCGATTTATAACTGTTAGACAAAAAAGTTTTATTCTTCTGTCTTAGCAAGTACCTAACTAGTATGATCAGATACAGATTATTTCTGCCTACAATAAATTATGACTGACTGCGAACTTCTACTTTTTTTTTGTTATTGTTGTCCTTGTTTGACGTCTAATATATCGCTCAGACATGGTCTCTTGGTGCTCGTTTGCGCTTGGTTCAGTTCAGAGTAAAAAAAATTCTCTCTAGGTATTTAACTCTTGGTGCCTTGTGCTTGTGTATTAGAACTAGTCTTTTTCATAACAAATCGTATTCATGCCCTCCCCACTCTCCTAATTAGAGCTAGAATATTTCTTCTTCCAAACCAATATTTTGCCGAAATAAGACAGGTATTTGATGAAACAACAGCCAAGTTTTAAGTCAAATACTCACAGCTTGTCTTTTTGGTGCTGTTTCTTCCCCATGGCGACCTAAAAACTCCGATGTTCGGTGAAAAATACAGGAAATGCGACGCTGTGTGTGGGATGACCTTTGACATCTCAGAGGAAAGTTAGCCCCGGGTTCGGCAACAGATTCTGGTAAAACTGTTTTGTGTGGTATTGGTACATTTTGTACTATTCATTACCAATGATTACGGAAAAGGGAACAAAATACAGATCCTGACTTATCTACAATAAAATTATTTTTGTTTTGTTTTGTTTATTCTATTGCAGGTCCCACCTGTTTTGTTTTCGTAAGCATCAACGGGCGCCGCCATGTTGAAATTTGACGTCATGCAGGAGCCATACTTGTTCCGGTATCCTTACGTCACATCCGTTTTTCACTTATTAATTACTTCATTAAAAACACACAAACACACACACACACACACACACACACAAACCGACACATGCACACACACACATGCGCACAGACACACAGACACACACACACAGCGCGCGCACATACACACACACACACATATGCACAAACACACATATGCGCGCATGCACACACACACATATGCGCGCATGCACACACACACGCATGCGCGCACGCACACACACACACACACACACACACATGCGCGCGCGCGCACACACACACAAACACACACACAGAAGAGTACGAGACCGTGAGAGAGACACAAAACGTTGACCAATCAGAAATCCCATTTCTATTAGTTACGACGTCATGAACTCATCATTGGTGCATATTAAATGATTGGTAAGTGAAATTAGCCATAAAACTTACACATATTGATATACGTGTTAACGTTACAATTGCAGAAGAAGAAGAAAAATAATGGCGAAGTCAACTTCCCTTCGTTGGCGCTAAAACTACACAGTGATGTACAGTGTATATTTATACATACATATGCCAGATTAACAAAGGTATTGAAATACATATCTGTATATCATGTCTATTGATTACCATCAAAGGTATAATCAATGGTTAATAAGAAATATGAAATTAAAATATATAATAGTGCTAGTCTAAAACTTACTATCTGATACAGTTACAGTTCTAAGGTTTAAGTAGAACTACATATTGCTGTATAGTACAAAAAAAGACACCATTTTCTGTAATAGTATAACCGCTTTTCCTTGAAAGGAATCGAAGAACTAATCTCCAAGCATAAGTATTCTTTGGGGCAAGAGAAATTTATATTGGCCAAATTGGTTACAGGCGGTCAATTTAAACTCTTCTTGGATATTAACCACAAAATGTACTCCCAAACCAATAACAGTCTGGTAAACTTGATCTTGATCTACAGCGGTAGAAGGGGCACGTCATCCCCATCTCCAAACCACTGGTCGTCTGGTTCTGGGAATGGAATTTCATCTTGCAGTTCCGGAATGTTCCGCACGGGGGCATGGACCTGCACTTCCACAAGGTTCCTTACTGGAGCCTGTTCTTGCTGTTCCGGAATGTTCCGTCCCGGAGCTGGCTGTTCCGGAATGTTCCGCCCCGGAGCTTGTTGTTCCGGAATGTTCCGTTCCGGACCCTGTACCTGCTGCTGAGGCTCTGGGTCCCGGGGTAGAGGATCGCCCAGAGCGTCTCGCAGCCGCCTCCAGAACAGCGGCCTTTTCCGCACGTCGTGTGGCCACATCAGGTACGTGTCCCTCTTTACTACGGCGTTCAGATGGCGGAACTGTTTCAGCATTTCGTTAGGAATCCTCTCCAGAAACACCAGGATGAGACGCCTCCCTCCCCCCTCCTCAAACATGTGGTACTGGGCCAGCTGGAACTCGTACTCGCACCACTTACTCTTCAGGAAGTTCCTGGTGATGAGGCAGACGGTTCTCCGGCTGTTTTCCACGGCATCCGCGATGTTTTCCACAATGGGAGCGCCCACTGCAAAGTCCCTTTCGTGTAAGACCAGGCTGTAGTCAGGTTCCAGATTCTCTATCGCTTGATGTATAACCCAGCCGACGTCCCGGTTGTTGTAGGCAAGAAAAGCATCGTGCGTGTATCTGGGCGGCCCTTGGTTCTTTACTTCTCCAATCTTCGGTCTCCTCCACTTGTCCAACATCCACAGGTAGTACTGAACACGGCCGACGTGGTAGTCGACCAGGAAAATGGTCGTCATGGCGACGAAGATGCCCGAAGAGGCGAGCACACAAGCCAGGAGGCGGTTGGGCCGGAATCCATGACTACAGACTGTGTCGAAAAACTTTCGTTCTGATGGATCCTGTCTGTCGTTAGAGTGTTGTTTCTGCGTCAGCCCGTCTAACAAACGTCTTCCACGCTGTTCAGGCGGACGGGAACACGTGTACCCTCGACCGAAGTCGGGATAGGAGTTGTGGAAGTTCGCTACCCTGTCGTATTTATCCAGGGCCCACTCAACAAACCACATTAACTTACAGTCACACAGAAACGGGTTGTCTGCAATGTCGATAGTCTCTAACCGGTAGACAACAGGACCCAGTGTTGTTTGATTTAACACAGTCAACCTGTTGCTGCTCAGATTCAGGTGCCTCAACCCGTACAGACGCTGAAAGGCGTCCCCAATCACTGCTATCCTGTTGGCTGCCAGGTTTAGATGTGTGAGGTTATCTAAACCTTCAAATGTCATCTGTGTTATATACTTTATCTTGTTGTTACTGAGATCCAGGAATTGTAGCCGAGATAGTCCACGGAAGGCGGATGTCATGACGGTGTTGATCTCGTTATGACTGAGGTCCAAATGCTCCAGCTGGTTCAACCATGTCAATTGTCCTGTTCTAATGCGCTGGATTTGGTTGTGAGAAAGAGTGAACGTTTTCAAAATTTTGTGATACCGGGGCCATAGTGATATATCTATTATCGCGTTGTTATCCAACCTAAGTGTTTCTAAGACCGATTGCTCACATGGTGACGTATAGTAACTAGCAGGCTTTGAGATTTCATTGTTAGAAAGGTCGAGATACCGTAAACTCGCAAAGCAGAATGGTTTATACACGTATCTTATGTTGTTGTGCTGCAAATCAAGCACAGTAATATTCCTAGGTAGACAATCGACGTTAACATTTACAATTTCATTATGACCCAAATTCAGATGATTCACGCTTTTTAAACCACGGAGGTTAACTGAGAAAGGCATGCCACATGGTGGTTGACCTGTTTGTCTGTTATGTAGCTTATTGTTACTGAGATCAAGATAGTCCAAGGTCTCTGGAAGCTGAGCTTGGGAGGTTTGCAAGTTGTCATGGCTCAAATCAAGATGAGTGAGCGAGGGCAGTCCTTCAAACACGTCTTGTGGTAAACTATGAATACTGTTATATGTCAAGTTAAGATGAGTGAGTGAGGACAGTCCGCTGAATGCCTTGTCGTGTAAAGTTAACGCCTTGAAACCCTGCGTCACATCCAGCCTTTGTAAATGTGACAAACCCTCAAAGGCGTTAGCTTGTATGGGTCTAATTTTGTCAATGCAAAGAATTAATGTTTTCAAATGTTTTAGACCTTTTAAGCCCGCTAGAGTATCAGATGTTATTATATCAATTCCCCTCAGGGATAATGACAACTCCTGAATCTGCGTGTGTCGGAGTTCAGGCAGAACGTCCATAATGGCGGGAAAAGGAGAAAAGGAGGTGTCCAGCGTCTGCAGATGTGTGAGTGACTTCAACAGGCCGGGAGCTATCGGAGCACCAGCAGTGTGTACATATATATGTTTCAGAGTTGGTAACAGCGGCCTGAGCATTTCAGTATTGAGGGGAATAAGTGGATCTATGTTACAATTTATACTCTCCAACTTAGACATGTTTCTAAATACAGGTCCAAAGTACGAGTCCCTGGCTCTTGTTAGATCCCACAGACTCAATTCTTTAAGGTTGTGCAGCGGTGCCCACAGCAGGCGTCGTTGTAAGAACCCACTTCCGCTGTGGACTCTTCTCATGGTGGTATTTAGGTCCTCTTTTATGTGATGGCCGAGTTCCCATATCTCTAGACTTTCCATTGAAGTCAAAGAATCAAATATGTGATCGGGTAAACTGTTGATATTTTTCAGGCCGAGTCGTAAATACTTGAGTTTAGATAACCCCGTGAACACTCCCTCACTGGCGACTCTATCGGTGTCCACGGTCAGATAGTTCAGGTTTCGCAGATCTTGGAAAAGTCCATTTTGAAGAAGCTTAAGGGGCGTTTGTGTCTCGATGAAAGGCCACGAACGCATATCAAGACGTTCCAACTTCTCCAACCCAGCGAACGTACCGACCTCGATAGTTATAAGTCAGGTCTAAGGATCTCAGGTTTCTTAACCCACTAAACGAGCCGTTATACAGTATAGTTATGTTGTTCTTACTGAGATCCACCGTGATGACAGACTCGGGGATGCCGGGAGGTACTTCAGTTAGATGAGATCTGGTTAGATGCTGCCAAAACGGATAACCTTGACACACGACAGTTGTTGAGTTCCAGGTCTGACACACAGGTGGGGAGAGTTGTCCTGTAACCCGTCCATGTTGGGCGATGAACACGGAAACCACAGCCAAGCAGACGGCGAGAGGAGCGGGTTTAGACTCCATGTCGGTCTGGTGGCATTTTTCTCAGGTTCGTCTCGTTGTGCCGACCGGTGGAGACTACGATATGAACACCTGGAGTTTATAGTGAATAA